CAGGTAGGGGGTAGGAGTGTTTCCTTGCAGGTAGGGGGACGGGCTGTGACCATGCAGGTAGGGGGTGGGGGTGTGTCCGTGCAGGTAGGGAGCCAGGGTGTGTCCTTGCAGGTAGGGGTGCAGGAGTATGTATGTGCAAGTAGGGGAATGGGGTGTGTCCATGCAGTAGGGCAGGGCTGGGTGTGTGGTACAGTAGGCTGGGCAGAGGGCCACCCTGTGTCGGGCTGCAGGGTTGCAGGCCTCCCCAATCTGGGTGAAAGTGATGCCTCCTTCAGTCCAGTAGGACAGGAGGTCCCCAGTTCTGGGAGAGAGTGGCTGTCATCATTGGTGACAACTATTCTTAGAGCCAGGGCACCTTGGCAGGGTTGAGTGGGAATCCTTAGGCCGAGAAGCTACCAGCAGGTTGCCCCAGCACAGGACCACCCAGAGCAAGCATCTGCAGACCACTGTGGGCAGGTGATTGACCCTGCAGCCGCACTTGCAAATAAAGTTTTATTGGAACACAGCCACGCTTCTTGGCACGTGGTCTGTGGCTGATCATTGCTCACAGCAGTGGAGGAGTTGAGCAGGGACAGAGGCTGATTGGCCACAAAGCTTAGAATAGTTACCGCCTGACCTTTTCCAGATACTGTTGCCGGCCCCTGGCCCATACCAGATGTTCTCTATCTCCACTTGAGAATCACCTGGAGATTTGTTTAGGAGGAGAAGAGTCTGGCAGGGCACAGTGGCTTGCATCTGTGATCCCAGCACTTTGGGAGGCTAAGGCAGAAGGATTGCTTGAGGCCGGGAGTTCCAGACCAGCCTGGGCAACATAGACAGACCTCGTCTCTACAAAAAGTTCGCCAGATGTAGTGGCATGTGCCTGTAGTCCCAGCTGCTTGGGAGGCTGAGTGGGAAGGATTGGCTGAGCCCAGGAGATTGAGGCTCTGGTGAGCTGTGATCATCCCACTGTACTCCAGCCTGTGGGACAGAGTGAAGCCCAGCCTGCACGACATGGAACTAAAAAAAATAAAATAAAAGGAAGAGTGTGTCCCACCCTGATGTTTTCAGTCTGGGAGGGACATAAAGATGGGCTTTTGCTACTAGGTTGTCCAGGTGAGTCTAACACGGGTGGCCCTGGCAGGAGGTCAGGAGTGCTCTTGGTGGTGGGGGAGCTCACCAGGACTGGCAAGTGGACCGTCATCTGAAACTGTATTTCTGTGGCTGTGGTGGCCTCAGGTTTGCCCCCACTTGAAGAGTGCTTTTGTTAACATGTGTCCCCTCTACAGTGTGAGAGGAAAGAGGAGTTTATCGAAAGAATCAAACAGCTGGACATTGAGACGCAGGCTGGGATTGTGGCCCACATCCAGGAGGTAGGTGTGTGGCTGCATGGTTCAGCCATGGTCTGTGCTCCTGTGACAGCCGGGAGTAGAATCCCCACTGGTGGAAAAATTAAGGATTCCATCATCAGGCCGGGCATGGTGGCTCGTGCCTGTAATCCTTAGCACTTGGGGAGGCTGAGGTGTGAGGACCGTTTGAGCCCAGGAGTTGAAGACCAACCGGGGCAGCATAGCAAGACCACATCTCTACAATCAAAAAATTTAAAAAAGAAAATACATTACCCATGAATAATTCTGCTCATTTTTGGTTCAGACAGCACAGACACATTGATTCTGTTTGGAAAGGCGGCCGTCAATCAGCCAGCTAAAATAAAAGAGGGATAAAAATAAAATTAAAAAACACCTCAATTAAGTCTTATCCTGTCTCCATCTTCTTGCCTAATATGGACTTGGACTATTTTTAAGAACTGTTGAGTGGTTTAGGCTCAGAATGTGATTTACAAGCCCTGGAGACGTACCCTGGCAAGTGTCACTGAGCCTTCAAAGGCTGCTCCTTATAGACTCCCCGCTATGTCAGTAACGCGGCAGAAATGGCTGGCACCGCTTGGGTGTTGCAGCCGCGAGTTACAGGAGGTGCCACCAGGCGACCTGGCCCAGCCCAGGCTCAGGCCCCAGTGGGGTCAGAAGGGCTGACCAGGGGTCACTGTCCTGTTCAACCTGGCCCGAGTGAAGTCTTCCCGGGCCCTCTGCCACAGACGCTGGCAGAGGGGATGTCACTGGAAGGCAAGTCCCCCAGTAATCTACTCCCTGATCTGCCCTGCCCGCTCCTTCCAAAATGAATCTTGTGTGCGATCGTCGTGGCCTCGGGGCCTGTGAGTCATGCCTTTGGTCTGATGGACAGATGAGACAAACGCACGGGAAAGGCAGTCCAGAGCTGGCGTGAGATGGCCCAGGCTGCACGGCATGGAGCTCCGTGGTTAATGTTGCCATGGGCTGTGGCCAGGCCCCAGGGGCAGTGAGCTCTGAGGTAGGATCAGCTGTGGCCTGCTGGGCCGAGGTCCCACGAAGCTGTGTCAGGGAGCACCAGCATTCCAGCTCCTGCTTCCACCACTGCCACCGCCTGCTGGCCTGAGAGCTATCCTGCCTCCTGGTGTCCGTGTCTATGTGTTTTGAAGATGGGTCCCTCCAGAGCTTGAGGTTGGTCAGTTATCAGCCACGCATTGTCTTTCCTGCCCTTTGGGTTATTGAAGTGTACAGCAAGAGAGCCCGGCGTGGTGATCAGACTTGGAGTGGTTGTGGGGACTGTGCTTCAGAATTTGTTGGAAGCCTTTTTTTTTTTTTTTTTTTTTTTTTTGAGTCAAGGTTTCACTCTGTTGCCCAGTCTGGAGTGCAGTGGCATGAGCAGGGTTCACCGCAGCCTTGACCTCCTGGGCTCAAGTGATCCTCCCTCTTCAGCCTCCCGAGTAGCTGGAACTCCAGGCATACACCACTGTGCCTGGCTAGTTTTTTTATTTTATTTTTTATAGAGACAAGGTCTTGCTATGTTGCCCTGGCTTGTCTCGAGCTCCTGGGCTCAGGTGATGTGCCACCATGCCAGGCTGATTTTTAGATTTCTTATAGAGATGAGGTCTCGCTATGTTGCCCTGGCTGTTCTCAAACCTCTGACCTCAAGCCATTCTCCTGCCTCAGCCTCTCAGAGCGCTAGGATTACAGGCATGAGCCACTATGCCTGGCCATGGGGTACTTTTTAAAAAGCCTCTTGAGAAATCTGCTGAGTCAGAATTGGGGAGGGAGGAATGAGCCTCTGATAGAGGCTCTGTAGGTGACCAGGTACAAGCGTGTTGAGCCCTCAAGCCCAGCCATACCAGTCTTCAGGAGGCCCTGATGCATCAGAGGACATTCCCCAGGACTGGGCTGGGGGCAGGTCTAGAATGGCCTCCGGCTCCCACATTTTGAGGGAGTCCTGAATCCCTGGGTGAGATTTCTCCTGAGCCCCAGAGATCGATTGTGTCCAGATATGTCTTTTTTGGGAGAGGAAAGGTGAGAAGGAGGCAATTTCTGAGACACCGGGGGTCCCTTGCTGGTGGGCTTGCTTTGCTTTTTGTACTTTTGGGGTCTGTCTCTTTCTTGTAAGACCTTCTCTGCCTCCACCTGCTGCCCTGATTAATCATGGATCTTCTTGGTGTCCTCATGGAGTGGACGCCCACCTTGGTTCTTGTTTCCCCTTTTGAGGCCTGAGCACTAGAGTGTTTCTTCTCAAAAATGGGAGGATGGGACTGGGCACGGTGGCTCATGCCTGTGATCCCAGCAATTTGGGAGGCTGAGGCAGGAGATTCACTTGAGCCCAGGAGTCAAGACCAGCCTGGGCAACATAGTGAGATGTCATCTCTACAGAAAATTGGCTGGGAGCAGTGATGTCTACCTATAGTCCCAGCTATTTGGGAGACTGAGGCAGGAGGGTCACCCAAGCCCAGAAGGTCAAGACTGTGGTGAGCTGTGATTGTGCCACTGCACTGCAGACTGGGTGACAGAGCGAGACCCCAATTCCAAGAATAAGAAAAAGAGAGAATGATGTGAACTCAGAATAGAGCCCTCTCCTCCTCTGGGGGTCTGGGGTCCGGGTTGAGGTTGCTCATGTAGACAGAACTGTGAGCCCTGCTCCCTGCCCAGGGAAAGGGCACAGCCAGGTGTCTTCTGTGGTTGGGGACAGTGAGATACACCCCTACTGAATGTTGTTTCAGGCTATGGGTAATTCAGACCCCCCGAGATTGCTATTGGCTCAGCGCTCTGAGATGAGGGCATTGGTATCTCTGCTTTGTCTGCCTGGATTTTAAGAAGCAATGCCCAGCTCCCCCAGGCTCAGCCTTCTTGTGGGGTAACTTGACGTGGCTCCAGGGAGGCTCTCTCACCTCGGGATCTTCAGGGTGTCTCCTGTAAAATGTGTTTTCTGATCCTGAGACCAAGTTAGTGTCTTCCATGACCCAGCCCTGACAGCGGCAGTGGCCTGCATTAACCGAGCACTACGGCAGCTTGGTGATGCTTGCTGCGTGGTTTGGGAATACTTGCCACATGGTTTGGGGATGCTTGCCACACAGTGTTTGGCAACAATCGCCATGTATTTTCGTGACACTTGCCACACAGTGTTTGGCGACACTTGCCATGTGTTTCAGTGACATTCATCATGTGCTTTGGTGATACTTGCCATGCAGTATGGTGGCACTCACTGTGTGGTTTGGGGATGCTCACTGCCACCAGTGTTTGGTGACGCTCACAGTGCTGTCCCGTTGTGCCCACACAGGTAACCCACAATCAGGAGAATGTGTTCGACCTGCAGTGGCTGGAGCTGCCCGACGTGGCCCCAGAGGAGCTAGAGGCTCTGTCCAGGAGCCTGGCGCAGCACCTGCGGAGGCTGGTGGACCAGCGGGATGCGTGCACTGAGGTGGGCCGCGGACAGGGCCGTCACCTCTGCTCTCGCCTTCCCTCCTCCCTCCTTTCTCCTCCTCCTCTTCCCCCTCTCCTCTCCCTCTCCTCTCCCCCTCCTCTTCCTTTCTCTCCCCTTATGTTCTCTCCCTGCCCTTCCCCCCTTTCTCTCCTCCTCCTCC